AATCCTTAATTAAAAAAATAAAAAATATATTTTAAGAAAAAAATATATTATTAGTTTTTTATTAGGGTTTTGGTAATCAACAACAGTGATTGAAGATAAAAATCTAACCTAAATTGCTAACTCAATTTCAAAATAATAGAAAGTTCCACCTCAACGCTATATCATCAATGGGGCGCGATCAACGGAGCGCGCCAAAATGAAGTTTCCGTCTGACTTAACGCATTTCTGACGTCATCCGTACAATAGGGCTGATTTGCAACTATACGATGAGTTGAGGGGCTAATTTGCCACAATTTACTGAGTGCGAGGGCTGATTCTGGCAGGGTTTGACCATCACTGTACTGTTACTTTTACGGCAGCGCTATAAATTAATTTAAATAAATAAATATAATATTTTAAATAAAATTTTAAATGAAAATTTTAATTATAAAATAATATATTATATTATAAATTAATTTATAATGTAATGTAATGTTATAAAATTATAATTATATTTATTATTAGTTTCTGTTAGGCCTTGGACCCTGCTGGAAGGCTAGAAAGATCATCAGAATATTGGGCCAACCCATCGTAAATTTTTTTTTTTTTAATTCTCTGAAAAATGAATCTTGTTTAACTTTCTATTTTCTAGAAATTATAGCTAGATTCATTCAATATTAACTAAAAATTAATTAAAATAATAAAATTTATAATTTTTGATAAGATATTATTTGCAAAGATTTTTGTAAAGTACTTTCAACTGAAGACTCAAATTTCGTTTGGGAGGACTGAACACAATTCTTTTTCTCATAATGAGTAATTTTAATTAATATTTTTATATACTTTTAAGATAATAAATAAAAAAAAAAACACAAACAAATAATTGAGAATTTGTAAGGTACTTCTTAATAATTAATCTATTGAGAATGTTTTTTTAATTCCTCCATCCATTAAAATAGTTGTCACTTTAATAAATTTCACAAAAGTGTGTATGGACTAAGCTTTTTCTTTTTCTTTTTTGAAAATAGGCAATGGAGGACTATGCTTAATTATTAATGAAGAGTATAAGTCTCTCATATTGAAAACTCACTATTTTATTAATGATTAAAGATTTTGTCTAATTTGTATCTTTAAAATATAAATTAAATATAAAGTAAATAAATATTTTTACAATTAATTTACATAAAAAATATAAAAATTACACATTTATTTTAATACCATTACTATGTAAATAGTTTTAATTGTCTTATTTATTAAATTAATCTATACCATTAGGATATAGTATAAAAAACCAATGGTTAAAAATAATACAACCCACCTATTCTCTAAATTTAAGTAATATTTTACATTGACAATTTAAATAATCTTTGATAAAAATAAATAAATCTACCAAAATAAAAAAAATTAAAACGAAATTTTTGTAAAAAAAAAAAGAATAATGTTTTTAAAGAAAATAATAATAATAATTTTCAGTTCATGGCCTATCTGTACAGATTTAATTTTTTTTTTTTTTCTTTTTCTACACAATCCCTAGCTTTGTTCTCCACCTTCTTGTTCTCTCTTGAGGTCAGCCGGCGGCAGGAATTGTTCCATCGACAGCCCACAGATGTTGAAATCCACCTCTTCAATCCTCCACGTCTCTTCGATTTTCCTCTTGTGATTATACGCCTGCCCGTACCTATACAGCGTCGCCGTCGTCTTCCCACCGTGCGCTATGTTGATGCCCTCGACGTATCGGTAATCTCCGATCACCGACTCCATGGTGGTCTCCCAATAAATGCTGTCGTTTCCCTTGACGGGTTTCATCTTTACCAGCTTTGTGTCCTCGAATTTGATCAGAAGTCCCGTTCTCTGGCTGAAGTAACCCCATATGGTGTGGTGGACGATTTCTGTGTTGGGTGAGCTCTGTGCTTTCAGGGTTTCTTCGCCTGTCTCCACCTTGAGTATGAAACAGTCTTCGCTGCCGATTGTCTTCTCCCCAATGCATACTGCGTCTAAGAATAAGCTTGCTGTGTACCTTGGATCCAATCCCTAATCAATCCACAAATTAAATGCAACAGGGTCTCAATTAATTCAACTAAGAAGAAGCAAACAACAAACCCAGATATGTTACGTCTTCAAAACTCTGTTTTGGCCATTAAATTTTGAAGATGCAGAGTTAGCTTACCTGGAAGAATCGGCGTAAAGGGCGAGGAGGGCCTCTAGTGGCGTTTCCAGGTTGAGTTGAGGACTGATTCCATGCGACCTTACCATCACTCCCTGCATTGATCTTGAAACCTGAAACTACGAGCTCCAGATACCAGATGTCCGGATTCTTCTGCCACAGCACGAAACCACCCACCTCACAATTCCCCTTGGTTTGCACGGTATCATCGCCTTGAAGCATCTCCGATCCAATCATCTTCACCTGCCCCACCGCATACATACTGGTCATCGAATTCAACGCCGCCAATCCTCCAGTCGCCGCCAGATATTGCTGGACTATATATTTTGCTGTACAAACTTCCTATTCAAAAACAAAAGAGATGCGATTGAAAAAAAAAAGAAAAAAATCAAATTAATCATCTGCGAGAATGCCTCGAAACATAGATATGAGTATATATACTGACGATAGGGGAATCCCTGAGGGCACCGGTGATGGTATGTTCGGAACTTGCGAGACTATGAACCTGAAAAGGGATAAGGGGAGCGCCAACAAGCTTGAGCAAAGCGAAGAATTCACCGCCGGACTTAGCCTGGAGAAGGGTGGATGCCTTGTCAAAAGCGGATTGAGCCCTCATGAGGGCACGCATGTTCTGCCAGCGCAACGCCGCATTGCTACCCATCTTGGTGAACATCTCCTCCGGAATCGGAACTTCCAAGACGGTCTCGAGGCCATCTTCGTTATCGAGATTAGGGCAAAGCTTCCTGATCATGGATTAAAAATCCCAAATCAAGGAGATGAAGATAGAGTTAGGGGAGAGATTTAGGATGATAAGAGAAAAAAGAGGATAATCGTTCCTCTTTTTCTCCCTAATCTGAATTTCTGGGGAATTGTTTTGAAAATAAATGGAACAAGAGGATGGGAGAGAGGGAATTGGATTTTGTTGATTATTTTTCCGTTTCTTGCGCGATTTTAGCGGGTTTTTTTTCGGTTTGGTTTGTTAAATCATGTAGCCAATCACCTCGTGACACCTCATAATTGCGTTGTTTTTACGATGTTGAGGAGTTTGATCCAGCCGTACGTTTTTAAATCACAAATTTTAATTAAGAAAAAGTATTTATAAGCTATATTTTCTCCTACTAAAAATTTAGAAGGAAAATTAAGTTGGTTCAAACTCTTATTTTTGTAAAAAATAATTAAAGTAATTTATTTTTAAAATATGAATAACATTGTTGAGAATTAAATTGTTTTAATTTTTCCTCATATTATTTTATCAAAATGGTATAATTTTAAAATCTGTTTAATTTATGGTTATTTAAAATTAATAATTAATAATTTCAATTAATTTAATTATTCATAATAATAATTATTAATTATTAATAATTTAAATATTTTTATTTATTAAATTAAATAAAACCGATGTCACAAACAATCATTTAATTTAAAATTTTAATTGATAAATACTACTATAAAATCTTTTAATTCCCATAAAAAATTAATTTTAATTAATATTTTATACTACTGTAGTAATATTCAAATAATTATTTAGATATACAGCACTCCAAATAATTTTCGACGTTAGCTAACATAATTTTTGCAATCACTTAATAGTAAAAAAGAAAAAAGAAAAAAGAAAAAACAAAAATGAAACAGCGACCACAACACTACAAAACAATCACAAAAGCAGCCTGAATCTTCCCGACTCTGGTGGAGGCAGAACAAAAACAAGCCGTTTATGATCAGCCGTGTAACCTCGATGTTAGAACAGTGAATAAACATATATGTAGCGTCCAATGTACGTAAATGTACAAATTACAATGAGAGAATGCTCTTGCAGACTTGCACTACTCAACCAGCAAACTGTGTTTTTCACTACCAGAAGCCAAAGTAGAAGCAATATCATCCTTAAAAACCTTGACGTGGCAAAGCTTTCCACCAGCCTCATCGGCGAAAGTAATCTTTCTCTTCTTGTGGATCAAATTTTCGGAAGAGGAAGAACTGCCTTCAGTCAATTTCTGCAATTGAACAATGAGAATGATTAGCAAAACATGCAAACAGAACTTCTTTCTTATCTGCCCTCTCTTTTGTCCTGAACCCTCTCTTGCTTTTGAAACAAGAAACGAACCATGATTTTACAAAAGCGGCTGCAATCCCTTGTCATTATGGAGAGCCATCTTCTGGTGGTTTCTTCAGCTCTGGCTGCATTCTCAATGGCTATTCTCATCTGCGAGAGTTGTTATAAGATGTATTTAGATGGATATATTTTACCTATTTAACATAACTTAATGCAAAAAGCATGTTCAAAGTTACTTCACTAGTAAACCGAGGTATCAGTATAGTGACGTACCTCATTAGTATTTTGTTGCAAAGCTGGAGCTGCAGTGCCTTCCAGCTGCAACCTTACCTTCATTATGTCTTTCATAGATTTCAATTCCTTTGTGAGTTTAGTTGCGAGAGATTCAATATCATGCATTTGACGCTGTGAGAATGCAATTGCATTTTCTGAACAACTTTGTGTGGACATGCTGCGTGTGGGTTGTGGAACTGAACGGGAAAGTTGAGGAGCCTTATTAGCCTTGACATGATTTGGTTTCCTCAGGGTTGGAGTTACTACAGCTCTACTAAACTGCTCAAGCCCTTCTGCTCTTAAAATCCTATGATTGGTTTGCTTTGCAAAGTACAGTTTCCCCATGCATTCTGATAATATTACAGCAAAATAAAAGTCAATTACAAATGGAGTGTGAAATTATAGTTTTGTACAAAGAAAAAGAAAGAAACAAGAATAGAACACTTCTATAATTTCAATTGATATTGATTATCTGGTATCATAACATATGAATGTACACAACACACACACACACAAAAGCTAAATTAGGCCACCAAAGTGAAAAAATGACATTAGCTCTTCCTGTGACATCCCCGCTGAGACTGATTAAATTGTCAAAGTAGTGAACAAGGCATCGGGAGAAATATCAATAACCTATCACTAAGCTAGGTAGATAACTCTGAACCAATTAACTGCATACTTCCATATGAATTCAACAATGTTCCTCTTTTACATTTTGATAGCAGAATTCATCAGGAAAGACACTGTTGATTACGATAATGTGGATTGGGTCGACTCAAAGACTAAAAACAAAAAGGAGAAGATGGCAGTAATGATGCTAAAATCATCAAATTTCTTGGATTCTTGCGAATCCTATATCAAAATACTGACAGAAAAACTGGAGAATGTGAAGGTGCAAGACACAAGAATTTATTATCAAACAGTTGGAAATACTGCTCTTACCAGAATGTTCATTATCATCCACCATAGTGAACTCCAGAGCTCGACAAAGCTTTTCTTGAGAAGTTGGAGAAATAGTCTGAAAGACAACAAATTAATGAGAAACAACTTCAACAGAAAAGAAGTCACAAAAACATCCAATATAATTTTGCTCACCTTTCTGGTTGAGAGAAGCCTTTGAGGAGGAGGATGCGGCTTGGAGTCATGATGGTCTCTGAGCTGTGGTGATGCTGTAAACTCATGAGGAGGGCCATGGGCTATGGAGCAGCATTTGACAGATTCAGTGAGTGAGAACAAAGATTGCTTTTCTGCTGAAGGCGAATCATAAGAAGCAGAGATCGAATGTCCATCAGGACTAGCACATGAATTCAGATTTTGAGACAATTGATAGTCCCCAGAAGAGCTAATAACACTGTTTTCAAACTTGGAAGGACTATTATCTTTACCGATTTCCTCCAACAGGCGATGATCAACTCCATCAATATTTTCTGAGCATTGAAGGTTGATATCAGTGGCCATGTCAGGCAGTTGAATCTGGCTTTGACATTTAGTCTGCCATGAAGTTTCAGGCTCAGCAGAACTGCTGTCAAAGCAATCATGTGTTTCAGGATCATGATTCCTGGTTGGAGACATTGATTCTGAGGGGACATCTTGGGGCATTGGGTAAATGCTGTAATCTCCTTTCTTAGATTCTGATGAGCTAGAACAGTAGTTGGTTATTTCCTGACTACCAACCTTCACAATCTGCCAACCAGAAAAATCATCATTGACTTTATAATGAACATCTTCCATATCATTGTAAGATGCTTCACCAACAGTATACTGATGAGATTCTCTTGTAGGATGATACCCTGACACAGAAACTGCAGTCTCTGAAAGGCAGTTGTTAATTGACTCAGAAACTTCAATCTGGCTATCACTGCTAGTTTTCCATAACACATGCCTGGAAGTACTGCTTTTGAAGCCATCATACAAGTCAGAATTACGATCCTCTGCTGGAGACAGTGATTCATGGGAGGTATCCTGGAGAGGAGAGGAACTTATATAATTGACACTGTTAAATTCTGACATGTCTGCAAACTCATAATCAAGTATTTCAGGACTATCAACCTTTACAATCTCCCAACCAGAAACCCCTACATCAAATGCAAGCTTGACATCTTCAAGAAATTCATAAGATGCTTCACCAGCAAGATCACAAAAACGTTCCTCTGGTGGATGGTGCAAGGCCCCCATATCCGAAATAATTTCATTGGTTGTTTCAGGTATCTCACTGCATGTGACTTCAATAGAATCCATTCGATCACTCCAACTAAAATCAGGATCAGCTCTAAGATAGATCATGGCTTGGCAATCTGAGAACTCTGACTCAGAAGCCTCAACCTTAACATTAAGAGGCGCAGGCCAATCATCATTGGATTGTAGGAAACCTTGATCACCTGTGCTTGGCTCAGATTTAACTACAGATATTGCATTGCAAGATGAAGTTGAGACATGCTTTCTTGAGCACTTTTTCTTTCTCTTCATATTCTTGGATATCTTACGTTTCCAACTGATGAGAGGCTCATCCAGATCACAGTAATTGTTTTCAAAATTGGGATCCTCTTGTTGAAGACTATAGAGGGTTCCCACAGGTTCTTTAACTGAACCAACATGGTTAGAATACTTCCTTTTCTTTGTTCTGCATCTCTCCTTTATTTGTTTCAATGTCATGTTGCCAAAGCCAAGATCATCCAGGCCATCATTTCTTTCTCCATCTCCATTGTTGTAGTTTAACTCAAAAGCCTCAAGATCACTATTG